TGAAAAATTCGCTAGACTTTTAGATAATAACAAAAAAAAAAAATGTCATAATTCCACATAGTTTCAAATTCCTCATTGTTATTATCTAAAGTCCATAATCCATTCCCATTGTTTTTAAAAGTTTTAATTTGTTTACTTCCATTTCACTTCAAACTAAATGTTTTCCCTCTTTTCTGGATAGGCATGCTCAGGGGCGTAGCCAGAAAATTTTTAAGGGGGGGCCCATTTTCGAAAATTAAAAAACCGTTATTTTGTATCCTTAAATCTATATTCATTCTTCTTAAGTTTAAATATTTAATTCATTATTCATGCATTAAATTTAATTTTTCGTGCTGATTTTGACATTTCTTTCATCATTTCCTCTACATTAACTGGTTCTTCTCTATAAATACTTAATAAAACAATTATCAGATTTTCGTAGGAAGGGCCCGGGCCCCCTATGGCCCCCCCCCCTGGCTACGCCCCTGGGCATGCTCGCTACGGATAGTAAATTTAGTACATAAATCTAATCTCTTATATCTTATCAGAATTTATGAGCACGAACTGCAATAAAGTCTACTTACGTTATACTCCAAAAGTCTGCAGAGTACTACGTATATAGTTTAAAAAAGATACCGCACAGCTTTTTTCTTATTTTATGTGCCCAAATCAGGTGTCATAAAGCCTTCTCAGTGGATTTGAGGCACTCTCATGAGTCATGACACATTAAGTGTTATTAAAATTCATTTTCTATGGAATTCCAATAAACAAAGCTAGCTCTTGACGATAAATCAAAGTTGACAACCTGCGGTGGTGTAATGTTCACGCAGTTTGATAGTCATTGACTGATATCGGAATTTACGTATGAGTAGTAATGTGAATCGTAATATTATTGGCACATTAGAAAAGGTTAATATTAAGTAGGGTTGGATGTGTGAAGTATGTAGAAGGAAGATCAAAAAGAGTAATAAAGGTTGATGAAGTGAGTGATTCTAATGCAATGTGGATCTCAGAATATTTAATAAATGAGCTAGAGACAGGAATTGTTTATTTTGGCATAAAGCAAGGGGTAAACAGCATGATGGGAAAAAGTTGTGTTGAAAATTTTCTTTTAAAAACTTTTTCCAAGTTTGAAATTTTTGTTCGCATCACGTTGTTGTCCCCTTGACTTGTTTTCTCAGATATACTCAAACATATAGTCCAAGAGATGTCACCAGGCGCGTAGCCAGGAGGGTCTTGTCCCCCTCTTAAGCGTTTTGAACCGCAGATAGAACACCGCCTAAAACGATTAAGAGGAAGACAAGACCCTCTTGGCTAAGCGCCTAGATGTCACAAATCGATCCAAAGAGTTCATCAGCATCGAAGAATCTTAGAAGCACAACTAAATCCATCAAATTCATATCCAAACTACAGTATTGCACCTGACTCACTTTAATATCATCTCTGTATACGATCCATTCAAACTGAATGACATCTTAAAGATATTTTTATTGAATAACTTTAACAACACGTCAAAAGTTGCAACATTTTCATCAAGCTGTAAATTTTGCAAATGTTAACCCATAAATTCTACTTTTCATGCAGTAAAAATTTTTTTTTCTTTGTTGTAAAGACATTTACAACTTTACAGTTCTCGAATCGCTTATTTTACGACATTATAGGGAAAACCTTCGAGAATTTGATACATTTCAACTCTTTATTTTCTGTGCACACAAGAGAAAATATCTTCAAGTTGTTATGGAAACGCAATGTGAAAGAGTTCTATAATTTTTCGATGCTACTTTCTTACTTTATGTTCTTGCTCCTCTTTTTTTGCTTGATCCTTAAATGGGGGGCAATCTTTAAGTTTATATTAAATATTCAGCAGACATTTTTAATATGAATTTATGAATTTTTTAAGAAATTGATTTGCTCTCAACTTTTATTTTCATTCAGCACTCGAGGATGAAAACTTTTTCTTCCCTCTTTTCCGAATGGGGTTCGAGTGTGAATGACGTCAATCTAGATATATAATTTTTCGTGAAACTCTTGATCTCGTTTTGTTGCATAAAGATGAATTTCAATAAAAGAAACCTATCCCGATCGGCACACACTGAAATTCATTGAAATGTTTGCCACCCATGGTCGAGTTGATAGTATAATTAGAACCAAGCGGCAGCCACAAAAGTGTGTCGATCGGGTTGCGATTTAAAGATTGTTCATCTATGACGTCCCAAATTTCGCGAAAAAGTAGATGAGAAGGACTGGGAGACTCTGCTCGGCACCTCCTCGAGTTGTACTGCTCAACTAATGGTCTACTTTACACTAGTCCAGTGGTTAACCTTCCACGAGCCACGAAACACTGCAACTTGAGAAAAAAATTCGTCACATACCTAAACATCTTCTGAGGCACACAGCTTGACCATAATTCCTATAAAGTATCGAAGGGTTGTGGACGAAAGCTTGGCTTATGTCGCTTGTTGAAAAGTTTGAGAACTACTGCTCTATGACATCCTCAACTCCTTGATTAGGTTATATCTTTGAAGCACATTGTTTAAAAGTCTCATTATTCAGTACACATCATTTATGAATGACCTTCTTAAGAAGAACAAAACTTTCCCTCGAATGCTTTATTTTGGAAGCGTCAAAGGAAAAACTTTCTTATCCTTATTTTGTGTCATTTTTCTACCATTTACATGCCTCATTTCATGGGAAAGAAGAGAAGATTAGAATTATTTTAATGCTTCCTTTTCTCTGCTCTTATTAAAATATCTCCAATCCTCCCCTACTTTTTGCATTAAGTATATTGATTTCTTTCTTTCTCATCTTATTAAATCCTATCTGAGACGTAAGACATAATTTTGTTACGGGAAAAAGAAAACTCAGTCAAAAGCCTTATATGATGAACATCTGGCTTAATGCATTTTCACACGAAATTTGTTAATGTTTATTCGGGTATATGTATGTGTGTTTTTCTGGTAAATTATGGTTTCTTTTTGATTGAAATTTGGGCGACAAATTAAATTATTTGAGAGATTCTCCTAGGTATTGAAACCTGTTGCATGCAGAAGGATGTGTCAATGTGCTGTATGAGATCATGGGCGGTTTATATTCCTCATAAGTTAAGGTTTTGATGTGGTTGCGTGGACTAAAGTGGGATAAACGAGAATGAACTCTATTGATTGCAATTCTGTAATATGAGAACTAAAGCATTAATAATTGGATCTGTACAGCATCAATAACTGGACCGAAAATATACATTACTGAACTTTAAGATAATGTGGGTTCAATTCTCATTAAAATTAATTCAAGAAGAGCTTTCAACATGATTATAAAAGTGGAATAGTCTTCAGCATTCCTGATTTATCACCATGGAACCAGCAACCTCCTGTTAATGTAACAGCAATTTACTTCAAGCCCGCCCATAATCGAAAACTTATAAATTTTTAAAAATATTTTCAGTCCTCCTAAAAGTATCATAAATCCAATCCTACTCAATAATTACTTCGAGAATGTCAATGGCGACTTTATTCTTTTAATAAAGCAGAAGCTTCTAATTATTTCTAAGAAGATGACTGTTATATGATCATCTATAACGACAACAGATGTTCCAAAAAGCCTATTAATTTAGTTATTCATCATCTAAAGAACAGTTTCAGTTGCTCGGGAATCACAGAAAAAAAAGATTAATTTGTCATTGGAAAAGGAAGAAAAAGTCAATGAAATGTGAGATTCAGATTGAATGGTTTTGATTAATTGTCCGGAGAATTGAAGATCTAAAAGCAAAGTCTGTTTGAAAATAAGATTTAATGACATTCTTACTTCTTGTGGAGCACCGTACAGCACCAATACTAGAGTCAGTATTTAATAGAATTCAGTCTCTATTTAGGGTTGTTCACTTATGACGTCCGAAATTAACGGTCATTTTCAAAAAAGAACAATGAATTTTCTCACGAATTTCTATTGTTCTTTTATTGCTGACCCACCCCCCCCCCTGGACGTCATAAGTGAACAGCCTCTTACAGAATTCTACAATTTTTTTTCAAAAAATATTTTTATAATGTGAAACAGCTTCAGATCATCTCCAAAATGTTGATCGTCATTTCTGAACACCTTCTATTAAAAATTTCATTATCCATTGAGATTACGAATTGAAAAATATAAAGATTCATCCCGAACGACAACAATCTCAAAATCTCAGCATTATAAAAATTATTTTAAAAAGTCAATTCCACCTACACAAGAATTCATTGTGTACATAATAACATACGGTGAAAATGAATCTTCAGAGCTTTATTCGCATAATTAAGCAAAAATATCTGCGATAAATTTTATTTTTCGTTCTATTTTTTTTTTATACGAATTAATTTCCTGCGACATTTTGTCTTAATCTATCTTTTACATTTCGTGTGTTTCGGATTTTTCAGAAGAATTTTCACATTAATTTTTCATTTTCTACGGTTGTCTGGCAACGAATTACAATTTCATGTAATATAAATCATGTGTGCGTGTTGGAGCATTCTAAAAATTTAATTTTGTTTTTATCTGTCTATCTTTAACCTTAATTAATTCTTCAAAATATTCAACTTGACTAAAAAGTTGATTTCATTGAATACTTACAAATGCATCGATAATGATCTCGCAAATATGAATGCTAACGTCTTTGGAGTTACTTATAAATGACGTCAATGGAGTCGTTAGCTTGTGATGTCTATTGATTTGGAAAAAGAAGTAGGCAGACTCACTCATATTTCTATAAACCTTATCTTCGTTAGACTTTATAAATCTCTTCCCAATAATTATGTATGAAATATTGACGTCATCACTGAACAACCCCTTTTTGTGTTAAAAACAATTTAATTTTTCGCAATGATGGCTTCATAAACTGAAGCTTAAGTCATTGATTTATCTAGAGAAATGTCTTTTGTTTAATAACATTTCAAATCGACCACAAGCAAAAGTAATAATCAAGTTGATTGACGATTTGTGGTTGCTTCGGGTCAAACTCAGCTACACAATTCAAAGTTTAGTGTGCATTGGCTATGAAGAAAAGTTCGTCGTTTATTGACGTCAGCAATTCCCAAACTCCAAGGGTAAAAAGTAAAGAGTTGATCAAAAAGTGTAGAATGAAAAATCAAAGAAAACAAGTTTGATCAAAGAGTTGAGCTGAAATTGTTGGAATTCCTCGTTGTTTTTCATAAAAAGCTTTTCATTGAGAGCGTTCTATCAAAGGGAAACAAAATCATGCTACTTTCTGCTTCATTTGATTCATTTTTTGGCTAGATTTTATGTACTTTAAATGAGGTTGTTTTGTTTGACAAATGATTGCATTTTTATCAAAGAATTGCTTCATATTAGTCAGAACTGAGCTGAATTTGCTCTGAATTGAACTGAGCTTTTTGTTGATTTGAATTAAAATTTTAGAATGGTGAATTAAGCTTAACCTGTGCTGAATTGAATTAAATTTCTGCTGAATTCAGATGAATTTGTGCAGAATTAAATTGAATTTTTGCTGAATTTTTGGTGAAGTGAGCTAATCCTGTGCTGAATTGAATTAAAATTCTGCTGAATTAAACTTAAATGAATCAAATCTTCGACTGAATTGATCAAAACGTGTGCTGAATTAAATTAGATTTCTGCTGAATTGAACTAGATGTATGCTGAATTCAGATGAACCTGTGCTGAAATAAACTGATTCTTATTAAATTCAGCCTATTAAAACTGAATTCAGCGCAATGTAACTGAATTTATTTTAAAATCAGCTTAATTGTGGTAAATCATTTCAACTTATCTAAATAATATTGATTCAAGCAGAATTTATTTTAATTTACAAAAATAATGCGCCAATTTAGCTGATTTAGTCATATTGATAACATTCAGCAGTCTTGTTCTTCTTAGTGCTATCAAAACATATCATCACCCTAGAGAAATCTAAACAATATAATTCAATAAACCAAGCAAGAATGATGAAAAATGTTAAAGTATTGTATATCCAAAGGATACTTGTAAGGGTCGAATTCCGCTGACTCATTAAAAAACTTTTCTTAATCTCATCATGAAAATTAGAATGTAAGAAATATTTTTATGCCACAATGGAATTTATCGATCGTAATATTCACTTTAAGAATCTGACAAAACAATGCTTTAAGAATCTGGAGTTGAAGAATTCCCCAGAGGTCTTTCTCATTATTTTCAATTTAATGTTTCCCCTCAAATTTGTTTTTGAATGTTTTAAAAAGAAAAGTGAAAGAAAGAAAGAAAATATGGAAAGCTTTGTGGAGGATAAAAGACCAGAAAGAGAACATCCATCTCAATGTTATTAAATATGTATAAAGTACACAATAATGATTTTCATAGGTCGACGTGAAGACCGAGAAGAAGATGAAAAAAAAGGCAATGATAAATGTTCATGAACTGTTGGGTTCATGTGTTAGATGGAAGCACACTCAGTTATAGTCTAAAAGCATTGAAACACAAACACTTCGTAAAATGATATTGTGTATAATTCCTTTGACATGCTGTTGTTGCTTACTATGTTATGCTTTAGAAAAATAAACAGAGTTGGCACTTAATCTGATATTCATTGTATGGTTGTACTTATGTTTTCAAGCACAAATCTAGTTTTTTCGATGATAAAGAGTTATTCGGGAATTTGTGTAGGCCACATATTAGCTTGTCTATGAAAAACAAAGTAGTTTCTCCAAATAGACAGCTAGAAACAAAGGAAGACTCTTCGTAAAGACAACATCTTAGATTCCAGATGAAATCAAACACGTTTTGATCAGTTCCGTTCCCTAGATTGTCTTCTGCTTTGTCAAAATACACTTCATAATTATTAGTTTAAGGATCTAGCAATAGAATAGTAATTCTTAACCATAAGTCAGTAAAGTAATTAGCTAGGTTGAGTTATTACACTCTTAGTCTATCCTGGATCAACCCTTAACATTGTCTATTCTCCATATATCTTAGCTGCAATTAAGCAAACCGAAAGAGGCTCCACTGGTCCCACACTTGACATTCAATTAGATCCATAGTCAGGCCATCCACCAAAAGACCCAGATTAACAACACTGAATAAAAATATAAAAATAAAATCCATTGAAAGGAAGGAAAAAAAAATCTTGAGATTACGATTGAAGTGCTTTTTTAACCATTCGTATAAATCCACAGATCTGTAAGTAATACAGCACCTTAACATAACATATCACACTCGTTTGAGGCAAGAGTCAAAGGGTTGTCTTTTATTCAATGACACAAATCATTTGAGAGGAGTTAAAGAGGCTTTTCAGACGAAATGTTTTGATACATTTTCCATCTCAAGTGTGTTCAAAATAATTTTTTGAATATTCTTTTCCCATTGTCAGGCTACCTTCTTTTGAAGATGAATACAACACTTGCTTTTGCAAGCAGCATTTGAAATTGAAATGGAAAGAAAAATAACAAAGAAAGTCTTTTTTAAGCTGAAACAATGTTTTTTTGCATATTCAAGATGAAATGGGAATTTTGTGACTGATGAGAAAGGGGAAGCAATGAATTGGTAAAATGCTGGAAGCATTGAATTTTTCATATATTTTTTCGATGAGATGCAAGATGAATTGAAAACATTGAGTTATTCACTATGAAGTATAAACTTATTGTAAGCCAGGGGTTGACACGATTTCATCTTGATGAAAAATTTCTTCATTCTATTGTTAAGATGAATTTTTTGTATGAATTGATGTAAAATGATGAAGAAAGATGAAAAGTGATGAATTTTTTTGTATGAAAAAATGAAAATGATGAACTTTTCGGGTAAGCTCGGTTTGTATGAAAAATACTTCGAAAAAGCAAATATTTCTTATTTGAGGTGAAAAATCTTTCGGAAAAATAAATGTTTGCATTAATTTTTTTATTTAAAGTGAAAAGCTCCAAAGAAAAGCATATTTTTCGTCTCGATTTCCTTAATTAGGATGAAAAACCTCTCGGAAAAGTCATTTTTCGACTAGATTTTCTTAGATGAGATGAAAAACCCTTGGAAAAGTCATTTTTCGACTTGATTTTCTTAGATGAGATGAAAAACCCCTCGGAAAAGTCATTTTTCGACTAGATTTTCTTAGATGAGATAAAAACCTCGCGGAAAAGTCATTTTTCGACTAGATTTTCTTAGATGAGATGAAAAACCCCTCGGAAAAGTCATTTTTCGACTAGATTTTCTTAGATGAGATGAAAAACCCCTCGGAAAAGTCATTTTTCGACTAGATTTTCTTAGATGAGATGAAAAACCCTTGGAAAAGTCATTTTTCGACTAGATTTTCTTAGATGAGATGAAAAACCCTTGGAAAAGTCATTTTTCGACTAGATTTTCTTAGATGAGATGAAAAACCTCACGGAAAAGTCATTTTTCGACTAGATTTTCTTAGATGAGATAAAAAACCCTCGGAAAAGTCATTTTTCGACTAGATTTTCTTAGATGAGAAGAAAAACCCTCCGGAAAAGTCATTTTTCGACTAGATTTTCTTAGATGAGATGAAAAACCCTTGGAAAAGTCATTTTTCGACTAGATTTTCTTAGATGAGATGAAAAACCCTTGGAAAAGTCATTTTTCGACTAGATTTTCTTAGATGAGATGAAAAACCCTTGGAAAAGTCATTTTTCGACTAGATTTTCTTAGATGAGATGAAAAACCCTTGGAAAAGTCATTTTTCGACTAGATTTTCTTAGATGAGATGAAAAACCTCACGGAAAAGTCATTTTTCGACTAGATTTTCTTAGATGAGATAAAAAACCCTCGGAAAAGTCATTTTTCGACTAGATTTTCTTAGATGAGAAGAAAAACCCTCCGGAAAAGTCATTTTTCGACTAGATTTTCTTAGATGAGATGAAAAACCCTTTGAAAAGTCATTTTTCGACTAGATTTTCTTAGATGAGATGAAAAACCCTTGGAAAAGTCATTTTTCGACTAGATTTTCTTAGATGAGATGAAAAACCCTTGGAAAAGTCATTTTTCGACTAGATTTTCTTAGATGAGATGAAAAACCCTTGGAAAAGTCATTTTTCGACTAGATTTTCTTAGATGAGATGAAAAACCCTTGGAAAAGTCATTTTTCGACTAGATTTTCTTAGATGAGATGAAAAACCCTTGGAAAGTCATTTTTCGACTAGATTTTCTTAGATGAGATGAAAAACCCTTGGAAAAGTCATTTTTCGACTAGATTTTCTTAGATGAGATGAAAAACCCTTGGAAAAGTCATTTTTCGACTAGATTTTCTTAGATGAGATGAAAAACCCTTGGAAAAGTCATTTTTCGACTAGATTTTCTTAGATGAGATGAAAACCCCTCGGAAAAGTCATTTTTCGCCTCGATTTTCTTAGATGAGATGAAAAAACCCTTGGAAAAGTCATTTTAGTTGTGATGTGAAAAAGCGAATTTTCATAAATATTTTTGTAAAAATTAAAGATGAAAATGATGAAGGAAGATGAATTTTTTGTATGAATTGATGAAAAAAGATGAAGAAAGATGAATATTGATAAATTTTTTGTATGGAAAGATAAAAAAAAAATGATGAAAAGATGAAATCGTGTCAACCCCTGGATTGTAAGTTCGATTTTACAAGAATTCCTTTTCTTGTTCATCAAAATTCCACAAAATGTGGGAGTTGACGAAATTATTCATCTTTAATTTGCTTTGTTCGTGGCTTATTTGATACGCCCTAGTACACCAAAATAGAACAACTGACTTAAAATTAATGTTTCAGCTGTGAAAATGTCTTTGTATTAAAAATAATTGAAGAAACTTTCAAAATATCAGTCTTTGTTCCTTGATTTCTCTTCTTACTTTTCAATTGAAAGCTCTAATTCCATTAGACAATTTTAAAACTTACCTTTGATGTTCCACGAAATTGACGATTTGCCGCAGGTTATTTAGACTTCACAGTGCCAGTAAAGATGTTTTTGTTTGTATTGATTGACAGCAATGCTGATGTAAATTTTCTCATGAAAATTAATCTTCCTCGAAGATGTATTTGGAGCATACACGTCCTTGTTGATAACCTTGCCAACGGCAAAAACTCGTTTCAAATATCCTCAAAACCATCTCGAGTCCGCAGAAGTTCATTTTTCATATCCTAAAATTTGATGAGAAAAATTTTTCAATAAAAAAAATTAAGAGGCATCCAAGGAAGTTGGGTGCAACTGTATCATAACTTTTTTTTTTGCTAATTTATTTTTTATTTTACTTTATAAGACACCCAAAAGGACTATAGCAACTGAAATAATAAGCTCACGGTGCCTACCTGTCTGTGCATACCTTCTCTAAATTACATTATAATTTCTTTATTTTCCCTTCACTCCTAATAAGATTTAAGATGTAATTTTAAAGGTTAATTTGAAGCATGAAATGAGGAAAAACTCATTCGAGAGGAATGAAAAATTTTGTGCTGTAAAAATTATTTTACTCATTTTTCTTTTGGGGAGTCGTTCATAAATGATGTCTATTATCTAAACCTAGCCTCCTTAAGCTCATAAGCTTCAAATAACAGCTTTTAATCCCATCTTGAAGGATGTTTTTTGAGGGGGGTACAAAACTTTGCACCACCCCCACCCCCTCCAAACTTTCAAGTCAATCGTCTTGTCTTGAATAATGAATGTTAATAATGTTAAATGAATTTTTTAAATTACTCAATTGCTTATTAAAGATAGTCAAACAATTGCTAAAGGCTGAAGCCAAAAATGTTGTTGCCTTAAAAATGAGCAGAAAAAACCGAATGAAATTTTTGCCTTTTCTCAAGGCACCTATAATGATAAATTCTGTCTACAATGAAATATCTTAGGTCGCTTTCCATAAATATTAACATTAAGACCACTTTGAAGTTTCACCAAACAGCACGGGACTATTTATTTATAATTTAGAGACGAAAAACTTTTTTTATTTTATTACTCGACTGTGAGGAAAATTTTTAATTGTCACTTTCGGAAGTGATTCATTTCATTATTATCTTGCTGTAACCAGATAGGAGGCTGGGGTTATGTATCATAAATGAAAGTGAAGCTTTAATTTTTTTTCTGGTAAAATGAGTAGTTCCAAAAATATTTTTATAAAGACACGTATAATCCTTGAGCAACATTTTGTGGCTTTATTATTGCTGAACAAATTTTCTCGCTCACAAGAGTGTCTATGATGGAAAATAAAACATAAAAGTGAAAAGCACTGTTGGTTGCTTAGCATGAGTTCTTTACCTTCTTTTTCTACTTACCAAAAAAATTTGTCAATTCATCCATTTTTTAGATTGAGGGATTTTTTGTTTTTGTTTCATACAGTTCTTCGTTTTGATAAGCTCTGTTGCTGTTTGACAGCTTTTATTATTGCTGAAATTTGCTTCATTTTGTTTTAATCCTCAGATTTTGTTAATAATTGTTCTTTGCATCAATTGATGCTGAAATTTTTGATGCGAAAATTTCAAATTCAAAGTGTCCGTTAAATTGTTTTTGTAGTTGTCAATTCGAGGGGAAAACAGCATGAGTGAAAAATAACATCGAATTCACGAGATTTCTGAAAATCTCAACAATTTCACCAATCAAAACTTTTTTTCATCATGTTGTTTTCCCCTTAAATTTTTAACATATTTTTTCCACCCTATAAATCCAACTTGTAATTCTATTTTTTTTCTTTAAAACTCAATCTAAAAGTAGCAGCAACAGACAGCAAGCATACTGTGCATAACTTTCTTTGTTTTATCATGAACACGAACTTTACATTTTGAGTTTTTAAGTAGAATTTCTTTTACAGGAAATTGCATTTCCTTCTAAAATATAGTATTGATTAAATATAATTTTATTCTCAAATGAAATTGCTTTAAAGTCCCATTGGACATGATATTACTTTGGAGACGCGCATTCGTCGTTCTCTAGAAATAAATTCGTTATCGTCAATTCCAATCTTAAAAATAAAGATTTTTTTTTTTGAAAAATGAATTTCATCCAAAAGTAATCTTAGAAATCTTGAAGAAGAAAACTTTTTTCTGATAGAAATTTGAAACTGAGGGTAGATGAAGAAGACATTAATAAAAGTAAAAGCGTTTGGCTTCTTATTCAACAAGCCTCTGAATAAATTACCTGTTTTAGTCTTATTTTAATTAATTTATACATCAAAGATTTTTAACTTACGTAATTTTGTGATTTTAAATTTTGAGTAAAAGAATAATTTTTACGACATATTCATCATGCATTACTATTATTGAGGCTTCTGCTTTCATTTTGTCTTTTATTAAGTTTTGATTCATTTTTTTAAAGCATTCTATGATTTTTTTGAATATTTTAAATTCAAAGAATCCAAAGAATTGATTTAATCAGCTTAAAACTTAAATTCTGTTCTTTTAATTTCTATCCAAGGTTGCGAAACTGATAAATTAAGTTTTCATCAGTGCTACATCCTTAGTTCTATTCACAAACTCATTCAATCTCTTTCTCCACAAAAACAGTCAACAATTCCATTCACATCTGTTGATTCTTTCCTGCAAAAACATCGCCAATTCATGGTTGTTTGCCAACTTTTTTCCAGTTTTCACTTGTTCTTTTGTGATTTGCGTGTAAGTTATTATTGTCGTTTGGATAATTAACTTCGTACATAATACAACAACCACATGTTTACAGAAACTTCGTTGTAATTTATCCCATATTGTTAATCTTTCTTGGTAAGAAAGATTATTACTCGAGAAAATAAATCCTGTAGGATTTTACGGAGAAATAGTGAATTGGTTGCGACTGATAGAATTAAATTTCATATGAAGGTTGTGCTCCCGAGCAGCTAATGAAATTAAGATTTACTAACCATAACTGATCTATACTTGTGCGTCAAAGCTAATGGCAGTCTAATGAGATATAGACCAAAGCTTATATCATCTCCATTGAGTCTTTTGATATAATTTCAGTTAAAACAGATTAAATATCGTGTCCCAAACTTCAATCTTGCCTCCAATCTCAACTATCTCCCCTGCCAAAACCTAGACTTCAGTTTAAAGTCGGTTCCAAACCAGTTATTTGATGATAATTTTGTAGCTCTCATTAATAAGGGAAAAAAAGTTCAAAGCCCCTCGTGCATAAACGTGTGAAAAAATTTCATTTAATTAATTTAATAGTTTCCAAGTTATTTATAGTTGTTTAAACTATTTATTTAAGTTCACGGTGCTGTCTGCTACCCATTGGGAATGAAGAGACGCAAAAGGAAGCAGGATTTAAGTCCAAAAATGGACTTTGAAGAAATCCCGAGTGGATCAAAACAAAATCTCAAGAAACAAAGAAAACAAGTTCCAGAAAAAAAACTCCACGGCGGAACCTGAAGTTCCAGTAACAGCTGCAAAGGCTGAAAAGCCTTTGTTCATCCAGCAAAATATTAATGAAGTGAGAAAAATAATTTCACAAATCAATTTGCAGGTTAAGCCTGCATTTAAAATTTCATCAGCGGCTACAAAACAAGTCATAGTCAAAAATGTTGAGGACAAGGCCTCAATAATCAGCGTATTGCGGTCTCAATGCATCCCATTTCACACTTTCTCCGAGAAATCGGAGAAAACAAAGTCATTCGTTCTGAAAGGATTTTACGAAACTCCAACGAATGAAGTACTAAGATTACTTCAAGAAGCCAAGGTTTCAGCTGTCAAAGTGATAATTCTCGTCAAGAAGCCCGAGTTCACCTTTTATCTTGTGCATTTTATAGATGAAAGTGTGAACATCAACGTGCTCAATCACAACCACCGTAACATCGACAACATCATCGTCAAGTGGGAGAACATCAAGAAGGGCAACAAAAGCCCAACGCAGTGCTTCAACTGCCAACGTTGGGGTCACTCATCTTCAAATTGTGGATATAAGTTCCGATGCGTCAAGTGCACGGAAGTTCACGGACCAAATCAATGTCAACGATCCACTCGTGATGGAAATGCCAAGTGCATTAATTGCAATGGCGATCATGCTGCCAGTTATAGACTGTGCCCATCGTTCATTTCGTATTCCAAAAGAATCGAAAAGTCAAGAGCCAAACCACAACTCAAAATTCTGCCACAGATATCAAGTCTTTTGGACAGAAACAATTTTCCATCGTTAAGCAAACGACATCAAGTTTCTGCTCATTCACATCCAGTGAATGCTGCAAGTAACTCATCAGCAACATTTAAAGAAGAGATTAATGAGCAACAACTGATTAATAATATCAGTTATGCAGAGAAACTCAACGAAGCAGTAAAGAATGAAAGCCTTTTCAAGAAATTCACAGAAGCTCAAGAACGTCTAAAGAGAATCCCCAACATTAAAGAAGCAATAAATCAGTTCTGCAGTTTCGTCGACGAAGCCGGAAAGATCCCAAAGGATGCACCAAAGGAACTGCATTTAAACTCATGGTGAAGTATGGCTTCATGAGCTGCCCACCCATTTATTAACGTAGTTCATAAGCTTAAAAAAAGATTTTTTTTTTCTCGCTCGGCAATTTTTTTAAACTTTTTATGCCACATTTTCACGATATATGTAAATCTCATTCATCAAAATTAATAATTAATCAAGATATAGTTGAATTAAAGCCATATTCAGGCTGGTGTCAAAATAAGACTCAAAGAAATGTAACTTAAACTACAATAATTCCAAATTTGAAATAAAGAAAGATCATTATCATTATTAAGTGACATATTTCAACTTTTCATCATTAATTCGATTGAAAATTGCCATAACAGCGTCGATTAGGCTCCTTAAATTTTGTTAAAACATTTGTTCATTAAGACAGCCACCTAGCAGTGTCTTTGTTTGTTTGTAGATTCGTCAAAAATCTATTTTCAATTCAAGAAAGCATGATTTTGTGTCAATTAGCTGCTCGGGTCACTTCATCACATGGGACAGCACTATATGCGCTACGTAAAACATCACATAAGCATTTTTACACTCATTCTTATATTAAATTTTCCACCTCCTTCACGTAATTATAGAAAACATGAAGGCGAGTTTTTAATCTCGCTTATAATAATAATAATAATGTGATTTAGAGATTTTTGATTCTCATGCGACATATATTTTTAAAATTAAATTAATTTTTTTCTTTCTCTGGCATGATGAAACGTCTATAAACGTGAAGATATATTTTCTGCTACACATCAATTTGTGGATAGTCTTTAAAAATATGAAAATTGTATAAAACAACAGATTTTTACTTCAAGACTTGAGAAGGAGGAAAAAATATTATTTTCGTCGGTTCTATCTCAACTGTATCAGTAATATCAAACAGCTTACAGCATTTCTCAAGTATCATTCAAAAAAGAGATTCCAAATTTCATTTTATGAGACACAAAAGCGGATTTGAAATAAAAATGAAATTATTTACATCAATGATATAAACAGTAAATTTGTTTTTGCCTTGATTCATCCAATTAAATCAGAAAAGAGAACGAGCGGCAAATGATAATTGCTGCGATGTTGGATGTAATCTAATTTTTTTTCATGTCCATTTCATTTGTTGGAATGTGTATGAATACAGCAGGAAACAATTGAAGCCCTGAGAGTTATGCTTTCTCGAAATCCCGGTCCCGACAAATTTTCGGGATCGGGATCGGGATTGAAATTTTTCGGGATTTCCCGGGAAATCCCGGGAATCCCGAATATGTAAAAAAATTTAAAAAACAGCATTTTTCTGCTTTTTTTTTCCAAAAAAAATTGTATATTTTTTTGCTACTTATACGGTCATTTATTCCTTAATTAATTAGTTATAATTTATGTGTTACAAGGTAGATGTTTTAATCCATGTTTCCTTTGAAAAATGTGAACATAAACAAAAATAGAAAATAAATGTTGATAAAGATGTAAGTTTAAAGGTTATAGAAAACGGTGTGAATATAATAATAAAAATTAAGCATTAATGAAAAAACTTTTAACAAATGCAATTGCATTTAGATTCTTGTCAAGTAAACGTTTTCTTTGTTTTGTAAGAATGTTGTTCCTAATAGAGAAATTTCGTTCGCTTTGAGTTGAGGTCGGCTGCATTGTTATCAATGCATCGTAAAGTTGATCTAACAAAACGGTTCTCTTCTTATTTTTGTCATACCAATTAAACTCTCTTTTCAAGTTATTTGGTTCTGTTGCTGCTGCATCTGTTGTTAATGATGTATATTCAGATATGCTTAGTTTCAGTCTATCTCGAATAGAAATGTTTGACGGTTGGATTTGATTTGCACTGGATGTTGAAGCTTCCATAGCTCCATTTGTAGAGTTTTTGACAAAATACTTTTTCAATAAGTCAATGCCAAGTTTATGTATTGCAGCTTTTGTTGACGATTTAAAATGCTTGTCTAAAGAAATATATTGAGGTAAAGTATTAAGTCAATTAATGTTCCATTTCTTCGTGCACCTATGCGAGCGCAATTCATATCGTAAACCTTTTGAGACAATAATGTTCCTTGTAGCAACAATTCGTCTAGCAAAAAGTTAATTGTTCCTTCAGCAATTAATAAATCGTCTGATTTACGCAATAATTCTTCTGTCGCGTATTTAGCAGGTTCTAAAACATCAATAATTTCCTAAATTAAAAAACCGGGATTTTCAATCCCGATCCCGATAAATTTCGGGATCCCGGGATTGATCGGGATCGGTAAATCCCGGGAAATCCCGATCCCGATCCCGATAGCGAGAAAGCATACTGAGAGTATGTTTATAATCATAAAGGACTCTTGATTCGTGTTATTAACAACGGGAAATGTAGAGATGCTTTTTAATTGGAGGAAATGTAGAAAATTCTCTGAAATTGTAATGAAAATATTGTTTAAAAGTATTAAGTGTTCCGTCTCACAATTTATTGCTGAGACAACGGTGCTTTAATATTTAAATTATGTTTTCAATCACAATTAGTTGAAATCCTCTCTTGAGGTTGTCAATACCTTCTAAATAACAATATATTCAGTCTTAGAACAAACATTTTATTATATTCACACCGTTTTCACGTGTGAATCTTTTGGTTTTCTCAGATTGAAAAATCAGTTTTTTGAATTTTGTGAGGATATGGAGCAAGATAGCTTAAAATGTTCAGAGATGAAAACTTTGTGCCTTGAATTTCACATCTTTTGCAAAAACAGGATTTCAAATTGATTGCGGCATTGCTTAGAAAATCGCAAAATACGCTTTCTGCAAGCAAACAAGCAAGCAAGTTAATCAGCAAGAAATCTCAATAACGATACATCGTAGAGACTTTTAGTTTTTTACCACGTTTTTACACGCTTTTATTTAACTCACACTGTTTGTATATTTGCGTCAAATCTTGTAATTGATTTTTCGATCACTTCTCCTGCTCCATTCGAGCTCAAATTTATTTTGTATACGTATTCTCGGTGACAATACATTATTTTAACACTTTGGGACCACAAAAATGCTTAATTATAGTAAAATTTAAGTAAAACTTTTTTATATGGGAAAAAATCCAATGTCAATGATATAAAATTTTGATTTGTTTAAAATATTATACTTGAAATGCTCAAAAGTCATTTATATGATTTATTATAGTTTAATTAATATTACTAATTATTAATTATACTATAAATTTGAGCAGCTAAAGATATTCTGGTAGGACAAAAAAAATTGACAAGTAATTTTTTCATGAATTTTCGTAAGTGAAAATTTAAATTTTCAAAAAAACCGTTAAGCACAAATCCGTTACGAATTAATACAAAATAACTATTAATATGCGATGTACATTTAGCACACATAATTTGAGCATAAACTTATGCTGTTTTTAATGTATTACATTATTTATAACACTTCACCAATTTAATTAAATTGACTTTTCTATTTATTAACGGCTTAACGTATTTTTGCATAACATATGAATGACATTCATTGAATTTAAATTTGAAAATCCGTTTTAAATTCGTTACATATAGATGTGATTTGCATCTTTATGTTAAAAATCTACATGTTATGTAGTAGGAATGGTACGGATAAATACAAAATCTTTAATTGAAGTAAGGACATTTTTAAAAGAGTTTCGTGTGTTTTCAGGTATGACTTAAATAATTTAATACGAATAAAAAATTTTGATAGTCTTTACAAATTAAAACTGGTAATCTTTAAATAGTTGAACGAAACGAAGTGCAACGAATTCGAGTTTAACACACCTGTTACCTATAAACCTACTGTAATCTATGAACAATTGAACGAAGCGGAGTTAAACGAAGTGAAGACTAACACTTCATGTAATCCAAAAACTGTAACCTCCTCATTAAGTCTGATAAAGTCAGTGTTGTAATAAAACAAAAGCTCCAAATTTTGGAAGTTGAATCGATTTACAGATTTGATAAGACTAAAAAGTAGAAAATAAAATACTATAAAAAAAAACTTTTTTAAAAAAGCACGCTTTTATTTCCGATTCCAGTGCACTAAAAAGGAGAAAATAATTTTTTTCTGAGAACTCAAATTTGATACAAAATTTTATGACTAAAAGTAAAAGCGTGGGGCGTTCAATTTTAACCATCTCTAGATTTTCTATAATATGTTCACAAACCTAATGCTTGTGCAAACATATATGGATGATTTTTAATTGACACAAATTCAAGATTTTGGGATATATGCAAGAGCGCCCCACGCTTTTATTTTTAGTCATAAAATTTTGTATCAAATTTGAGTTCTCAGAAAAAAATTATTTTCTCCTTTTTAGTGCACTGGAATCGGAAATAAAAGCGTGCTTTTTTAAAAAAGTTTTTTTTTATAGTATTTTTTCTTAACTTGCTTTCTTGTCTTTCTGTCTTTCTGTTTGTCTTGGTCAAATCTTGCAATCAATTTTTCGACCACTTCTACTGCTCCAATCGAGCTCATTTTTTTTATTCACACGTATTCCCGGTGACAATACAATATTTTAACACATTGGAACCACAAAAATGCTTAATTATAGTACAATTTTAATAAAACTTTTTTATTTGGGAGAAAAATCCAATGTCAATGATATGAAATTTTGATTTGTTTAAAATATTATACTTGTGATGCTCTAAAGTCATTTATATGATTCATTATAGTTTAATTAATATTACTAATTATTAATTATACCATAAATTTGAGCAGCTAAAGATATTCTGGTAAGACAAAAAAATTGACATGTAATTTTTTCATGAATATTCGTAAGTGAAAATTTGAATTTTCAAAAAAACCGTTAAGCCTAAGTCCGTTACGAATTTATGCAAAATAACTATTAATATGCGATGTGCATTTAGCACACATTGATTGAGCATAAATTTATGCTGTTTTAAATGTATTGCATTATTTATAACACTTCACCAACTTAATTAAATTGACTTTTCTTTTTATTAACGGCTTGACGTATTTTTGCATAACATATGAATGATATTCAGTGAATTTAAATTTGAAAATCCGTTATAAATACGTTACATATAGATTTGATTTGCATCTTTATGTTAAGAATCCACACGTTATGTAGTAGGAATGGTTCGGATAAACACAAAATCTTTACGAGTGATTTTTAATGTACTTTACTAATGAATGCTTTAAAAAAATTAAATTTTATAAAACGAATGAAAAATTTTGAAAGTCGTTACTAATTTCCCATTGAAAACTGGTAATTTATAAACAGTTGAACGTAACGGAGTGAAACGAAGTGGAGTTCAACACACCTGTAACCTATAAACCTACTGTAATCTATAAACAGTTGAACGTAACGAAGTGCAACGAAGTGAAGTTCAACACACCTGTAACCTATA